AAACTTCCCTCAAGATCCAGCTGCTTCTGTCTGCAACTGCATCTTTCAGCAGCTGCTGAGAGATCACCAGGATTCTCTTGGTGTATTGACTCTCAGAATCTGCTTTTAACTGACTGACCTTAAACTGTTTCAGCAGAACATATTTTGAAGCTATTCCTAATCAGATAACAATACATTTGAAGAACAAAAGGGACTGAGGATGTAGCTCAGTGGTAGTGCTGGTCTACTATGTGCAAGGCCCGGGGTTCCATCCTGAGCGGGTACAAAATACCAACAATCAAGAGACTTCTACAAACACTGTACCTACCCAGTATTTGCCATTTTTACAACCATTTTTAAAGCTAAAATACCACTACTCATTCTTTACCAATGCTTAAATTTTTCATATTTAACTACTACTACTGCCCTCCAAATAGGCTTATTGGAGAGATGCATACCTGGGGAGCCAGTCCAGCTTCCCCCAGTGCATCGATTCCTAAGAGCTGGAGTCAGCTCCGGTTTGCTCACTCTCACAACTGAATCTCCCAAAGCAATCTTTCTTCTCAGCAAAGGAGCAGATTACTGCTGATATCTGAGAACACCCAGGAGAAAAGGAGGGATGGGGAAGAGAGAGGGAAGAAAGGTTTTCAAATAGTGCTTTCCTGGCTTTCAACCAAACACAATTACAGAGCATCCACAGCAGATGAAGTCAAGATAACACAAACAAAACCTTCAAGGAGGCCAATTATGCAGACAGCTTCCTCCAATGGAGGCTGAAGTAACAGGCAAGCTGCTCCAGAGGCCTCAAGCCCCAGAATCAGTGGTCTGGGTCAGCCCTGGTAGTTAAACACAGACACCTTACCATCTAGATTTTCTTTAGTGATACGTGGCTGTGCCATTCATGTTTTCTGGGGGGATAGAGACTGTTTCATAATCAAACTTCTTTCTCTGGTCTCAAGTTATTATAGTAGTTCCTCTACGTGGATCCTCAGAGACAAGGCATTCCTTTTGTTGAATGGATGAATGGCAGCCCCCGTGACTTCAAGTCCATCTGTCATTAAAAGCTGGTACTTTTTAAAATATTTATTATTTTTAGTTTATGTGCACGAGTGTATTGTCTGCATGTATGTGAGTGCACCCTTGTCAGCAATGCCTGTGGAGGTCAGAAGAGGGCGTTGGATCCCCTGGAACTGGAGTTAACAGACACTTGTTAGCTGCCATGTGGGTCCTGGGCTTAGTTCTCTTAACCTCTGAGCCATCTCTCCAGTCCTTATATAGTTCTTAAAATTCAAATTACAAAAAGAAAGAGATACAAATAACTTCATAAATAAGATTAAGGATAAATGAAAACTAGTACTGGATTACAACCCAAAATGTGAATATTCACATAAATTACAGAACAAATCAGTAAGTGAGACGAGGCAATGCTCCCATATGAAAAGAATTCAAAATGATCTGTGTTAGAGCAGTTTAATTCCACCTAATGGACTGAACTCCTAAAAGTACAGTATGAAAAGAGAAAGAAGAGCAATTTCACGGCAGGGAATTCTACCTGACACACAGTCCTGGTGATCAAGGTCCAAACCTGTGCTAATGTTAACACTAATGTGTTAGCAGGCAGTCATGCTAGCATATACCCTTCTACACCTTGTCTTTGTGGTCTTCCTCTCTAATCTGACCACAAAAAAAAATTATCAGACAAACTGAAATTCAAGGACATTTTACTAAACACCTGAACTCCTGAAAATTGTAAGGGTCATCAACAATTAGAAAAACCTGACCAACTGATACCTAAAACATAACGTGGGATCCTGGGACCTAAGGGTCAGGAGTCTGTGAGCAGGGTGAAAAGCAGAAGACACCCTAAGAAGTGAGAAACATTAGAATTTTGCTAAAACACAGTATTGGATTAAAACCAAAGTATAAATACCCATGAGCTCATATTGATATAAATGGCTAAATAAGAGAAAATGGATAAATCTCCCACAGAGAATTCCAAATAATTTGCAAAGATGGAACTTAACTCTACTAACGACTCACCCTGAAAACACCAGTAGGGAAACACTCATGACATCTGAATAAAGCATGAAATTTGGTTCATAGTAAGATAACAATGTTGGTTTCTCAGCAATGACAGCTGTACTAGAGTACTATAAGATGTTAACAGTAATAACAGGGTAACCCAGGTGACAATTATGTTCTCTCTGTATCTCTGGAACGTTCCTGCAAATTTGAATCTAGTCTAAAGCAAGTTTCTGTTTGTACAGTTTGGTTTGGTTTGGGGTTTAAGACAGGCAGGGTCTTGGGGACTAGAGAGATGGCTCAGCAGTTAAGAGCACTGACTGCTCTTGCAGAGGACCTGGGTTTGATTCCCAGCACCCACACGGTGGCTAACAACCATCTGTAACTCCAGTTCCAGAGGGTCTGACACCCTCTTCTGACTCCTCAGGCACTGCACAACACAGGTGCACTTACACACATACAGACAATACACTCACACAAACAAATAAATAAACAAATAAACAAATAAATAAACAAACAAATAAACAAATAAATAAATAAATGGGTCTTATGTAGTCCAGGCTGGCTTCAAACTATCAATGCAGCTAAGGATGACCCTGATCTGCTCTCCTGATCCCCCTGCTTCTACCTCCCAAGTGCTGGGATGACAGGCCATGTGCCTGCCACCATGTCTAGTTCAAAGGCTTTTTTTTTGGTCTTTTTGAGACAGGGTCTTCTTGCAGCCCCAGCTGTCCTGGAACTCACTATGTAGACCAGGCTGGTCTCAAACTCACAAAGATCCACCTGCCTCCACCTCCCAAGTGCTGGGATTAAAGGCGTGCACCACCACACCCAGCAAAGGCTTATTTTTAAAGTCACAAGATATCAAACAGGTTTTGGGGAAATTAAAACAATGTTTTAAAATCCCAACTTTGGGGGGGATTTTCAGTAGTTGAGAACACTGGCTGCTCTTGCAGAAGATCCAGGTTCGATTCCCAGCATCCATATAGCGGTTAACAACTGTCCATAACTCCAGTTCCAGGGGATCCAACGCCCTCTTCTGACCTCCGAGGGCACTGCATAACATAGGTGCACCTACCTACATGTACGCAATACACTCATACACATAAAATAAAAATAATAAATAAATTTTTTTTAAATCCCAACTTTGCAGTAGATGTTCAATGACTAGTAAACACATAGGTTACTAAATCACTAACTATATAACATTACACGGAGACAACTCTTAGAACTCTAGAATCTGCATTTTAAGAAACAAACAAAGTGTTTTTCTAATAGAACCATGCCACCCATGCCTCTTCACACACCAGGAACAGTCTCAATCCAAAAAAGCCAACAACAAAAAGGCCTGGAAGTTAAGTTAAAAGGAAAGTAGCTGGGGCCAGGTATCAGTAACATACTAGAACAGCTGGGGTCAGCATGATGAAGCATGCAGATCAAGGCTGAGCCAACTACAAACCTCAAAGGCAGAGGCAGCACTGAAAGGGAAGGCATGTCTTTTTCTAAAGTTGTGATGCTTGTACAACTGCATAAATACACTAAAAACCAACTGAGTACTTTGAGTAAACTAAATGGTATGAGAATCAGTTCAATAAAGTCATTACCAAAAAATAAATACACAAACCAAGTAGAGAGCAACCGTTTTTTTAATGAAATAAAAAATGCAGGCACTAAAGGTAAGTAGCATTTGGTGAAACTTTAATTTGTTCTTTATAAGCAAATATATAGATGATATACACATACACATATATGTATGCACATATTCATAGACACATAACACCTCCAAGTATGGTCATCATGCAAACTTTGTACTTTAAGTCACGACAAAGCTTAAAAGACTCTGTTCTAAATCACTGGCTCAACTCACCCTCACTTCACTCTATCAAGACCAACGGGGTTAAAATCTTTTTGTGGGGTGGACGGGAGTTTGAGACAGGGTCTACCTGTAGCCCCAGCTGGCCTCGAACTCACTATGTAGACCATCCCAGGATGGACTCGATCTCACAGAAATCTGCCTGCCTGTGCCTGGGATTAAAGGTGTGTGCCACCAAACCCAGCAGAATCTAATGCTTTTGAGTGTGTTTAAAAAAAAACTGACAAAAGGGCTGGTGAGTAGACTCAACAGGTAAAGACACTTGCCACCGAGTCTAGAGAACTGAGTCCAATACCCAGGACCAACATGGTAGCAAGAATGAACCAACTCCCAAAAGTTGTCCTCTGACCTCCACATGCATGCCATAACACACACACGCAAACACAATTAATTAATTAATTAATTAATAATAAATAAATAAATATCTTAAAATGTTTTAAAAGAAAACTGACCAAAAAATAAATTCTAAATCTAGGGGTGCGGTGTGTGTGTATCTGTAATCCCAGCGCTCAGAAGGTGAAGGCAGGAAGATCTGGAGTTCAAGGCCAGATACACAGCAAGTTCCAGACTAGCTTAGGTTACATGAGCACATCTCAAAAGACAAACAGAACAAATAAAAATTATTTTTAATTAAGAGAAAGGGGTTTTAGGAAGTAGCTCAGTGGTATTGTATGTTTGCCATATGAAGGCCTGTGGTTTGATCCTAAGCACACACATACAAAAAGGTAGGGAGGAAGAACCTAACCCTCAGCAGCTCTTATTAATGATGGCCCCACTACTCACAATACAGGTCTTGTCTGATGTGTTATGTTCAGCACCTGACTGAGTCCACAGCCTGACCTTAACAGATGTTTGTGAACAAGAGGGAGAGGAACATAGTTTTGCGAGAAAAGCAAGGCTGGTGTGTGGAGGACGAGGGTACATGACCAACAGTTTTCTCTACCACTATATTTTAAAATGAAGTCAGGTTAGCTACAAGAGAATATAGACACCACAAAGGTAACAGAAAAAGGGACATCAGAGATAATATTAGACACATGCACAGACACAATGGAGACTTCAGAGGCATCTATCTGTTGAGGGCAGAAATGCCTGGCAAGCAGTGATCTACTCCCACTTTCCTTACCTCTGTTCTTGAGAAGGCTCCTCCATGTCCTCTTCAGAATCACCCTATAGAAAAAGAACATGCTTTAACACCTGTCTCAAAGGAACATGCTCATCACAAGTGGTCGGAATGATAAGCCTGAGGACCCAAGTTCAGTTCCTAGCATTCACATCAGGCAACTCACAACCACCTGTAATTCTATCTCCAGCTCTCCAGGAGATCAGATGCCCTCTTCTGGCCTCTGCAGGCCTCCACAAGCAAATGTGCAAAGTCCCACATGGACACACACAAACCGGACACATACACACAAATAAAAACAATAATAAAATCTTTTAAAAATTATGTTATAGGGGCCAGAGAGATGGCTCAGGTTAAGAACACTTGCTGATCTTCCAGAGGACCTAAGTTTGGTTCCCAGCACCCACATCAGGCAGCTCACAACTGTAACTCCAGCTCCAGGGGATGTGACACCCTCTTCTGTGGGCACCTGTACACAGTGGTACATACTCATATCCACACACACACATATAAATTTAAAAAAATCTTTTTTAATGATGTTATAATGGTAATGTAAAGCTGTAAAGTGCCAATTGGTCCCTTACACATTCACTGTTATGTAAATAACCTATCTATTTAAACATACAACCACAACATAATCTCAAAACAAGTGAGCAGACACTTCAAGAGCCTTTATTTAACATCTAAATGTAATCACATAAGATATAGTTGGGCACCAACTAAAATCTCCAAGTAGGGCTGGAGAGATGGCTCAGTGGTTAATAGCACTGGCTGCTCTTGCAGAGGACCTGGGTTCAGTTCCCAGCACCCACATGGTGGCTAACAACCATCTCTAACCCCAGTTCCAGGGGATCCAATGCCCTCTTCTGACCTCCCCAGGTATTGCATGACACAGGTACACTTAAATATATGCAGGCTTAAAACACATAAAATAGAAATAATTTTTAAGAAATATAAAAATCCCAAGTATAGAAAATACATTAACTCAGAATCCTATGAATGACTGTGTGGCATATTTTGACATAAAAAAAAGGGTCTGTACATTACATAAATACTACACTCAATAGCTCTTCCATATACAAGGCAGGTCAGAAAGGACAACTGAAACACCAGGAAGGGTTCTAGATACACAACACAAGTCAAGTCCACCTAAGCACACCCTGCACTCAGCCCAGACATCCCCTAGAGGAATTACTCATCCTCGATGTTCTCTACTGCTGGCCTGGTACATCCTGACCCACCAGCTTCTTTCCTGCCCCTTGTCTCCTGGTATCACAGACCTTCTGGCCCCTCCTCCTGCCTCCTGCCCTCTTAGCCCAGGGTACTCTGCACTAAAGCATCAGCATGTTAATCCACCACTGAAACCACAAGGCCAAGATAGCTGTCTTCTACCTCATCTCCATCACACTCCAGCAATCAGCACATGTCAGCAACTCTGAAAACCTGCTATGGTACATTACTTACAACTCTGATTACCAAATACCAGGATGTAGACTGTCTCGAACTCCACTTCTTAGTTAACACACACCCCTGTGTAACAAGGTCAGGAGTCCCTGTGGAGATGCTTCTGGTTTATTTAAAACCAGCCTCCCTTCAGCTACGGGTCCCATCACAATGCTAAGCTCCTGGGCAAACCTTTGCACTGCTTCCCTCCATCGTCTCCAACATTGACTCCAACTTCAGACCTGCCCATTCTCTACTATCCCACTCACTGGCAAAATGGCCCACACCATCAACACCCCAAGGCCTATACTACCATCACACACAGGGCTTTTTGCTATGCTAAAAAAGTTGCTTGCAATCTTTCCTACAAGCATTACCACAAAACCAATCTTCCTCCACATCAGTCCTCACCGCCCACTATATGCCCAGCTTTCAGTATCACTGTGTTAATCCCTGCTCACTTCCCTACAATGAGCCTGACAATGCTCAAGGCTGAGGCAAGACAGTGGAGAGTTTCCAGGCCAGCTTGGCCTACACAGTAAGAGCCAGTCTCAAAAGAAAAGATAAGAAAAAAAAAAAAGAAAAGAAACGCTCTAATAGTTCCCTGGTGCTAGTCAGATACACTCCAAGCTCTTTCACAGAGGATCCTCCAAGCCCAGCTCTGGTCCTGACACACCCATCCACTCCCTCCAACTTCCATACTTCAGTAGGCTCTGGGTATAATTTAAAATGTCAGAGTGAAAACTGCAATGTCCACCATGTGAGACTCAGGCTGGGCCCATTCTTGCCCTAGGCCTTAAGTGACCCCTCTGGTAGACACTGGTCTCTTCTTTCAGTTCCTATATTTCAACATCTGAATGCAGTCCTTGGGTGTTACCAGCTTTATCTTTATCTGGTCAACAAAACCAAGCTCTTAAAAGAACAAGGACCAACTCTCCTCTCTATCCCCCCACCCATTCTGACAGTGCCCCAGGGCCCTTGTACTGGCTATTTCAGCTTCCTCACTTCTTTCAAGGGCAAGTCCAAGTACCATCTTTTCAAAGTGGCATCAACAGACCTATTAAAGTAAAAGTGAAACTCCCACCACTGCCCCTTCCTGTCAGCATATGACGTGCATGCCCTTCAAGCAGACTCCATCCCTTAGAACTTAATTCTGTGTCTTATTTACTATCTATATGGCCTCTACTGAACTACCAGGTCCACATGGGCAGGTGCTTTGGTTTACTGTGACATCCTCTGTACCTGAAATAGTGCTTGGCCTGCAGGCCGAGTATAATCCAGCTGTCTCTTTAATTCTAATGGCTCTGACTATTTCTGAAAACTTCATTGAGAAACTTTTTCTAGATCAAAATAGAGCATGAAGTTATTTCCCTCCAACACAGGAACTTTATCATAATCAAAATGCTTTTTCTGGTTAGACTGTACTGAAACTTGCACAAATAATACCATGGCCTAAAGCTCAGGCTCTGGAACTAAACACTTTCTGGGTTCAAATCCCACCCTGTTACTTTCTTACTGCCTCCAGGGAGTTATTTAGTGGCACTTGTACCTCAGTGTCTTCAACTGTAACATCAGGCAATACCACTTCGTGGTATGTAGTGTGCACATGTGAGTTAAGATGTACTTAAATATGCTGATGGTTCTCAACCCATGTTAGTTATTATTTTTCAATGTTGACAGGAGATTAAGCCAAAATTAAATCTCTATGACAAAACAATTTCCAAATACTAGTTAATGATTCATTGACTGGAATAGCATGCTATTACATAGCACAGTACCTGAGATTCAAAAAAAGAACCCAAATGTTCACCAGTTCACTTTCTGCCAATTTCTGTTATCTACACCCTCTGACTTAAAGAGGGGGAAAATTAACAAGACATGGTATGTTTAAAAACAGAGATTTTCTTATATCCTTAGGTCAGGGAGGTTCAACGGGCCAGACCAATGCTTTGTGTTTGCTCAATGAACAAGCAGGCCTACAGAGCCCTGAGTCGGGTAGGCCCACCCATCCCTTAAAGCGCTGTGCCAGGTCAGCTGTTCCAGTCAGCACAGCGCCCATCCCCATCTCCGCCTCTCAAATCTCCTAAGGGGGTCAGGAGTGGGTTCTCTCAGACAACTCCAAGCAAACTGGCAGAACAGATTCTGGGTTGCTCTTCTTGCTGAAATTGGCATCGCAATGTGGTTCTCAAAGGACAATAGCAATTTAACACTTTGGCATTTCATCTGCCATCTTCAGAACTGAATAACCTCATCCATCATAGAGCAGAGCCAGACACTGACAGCTGCCTCTCCTCCCCTAAAAGGCCTCACCACATGCAGAACGCAGTGGCCACAGCAGAGCCCCTAAGCTGCAGCAGCCCAGATCCTTGTAAGAGAAACCCAGTTCAGACAACATAGCTCATAGAAGACCAAGAAAAGCAACCAGACACTCAGGATACTTCAAGAAACTCAGGGCTGGCATAGTGGCACATGTTTTCAATCCAGCACTCGGGAGGCAGAAGCAGGTAGATTTCTGAGTTCAAGGCCAGCCTGGTCTACATAGTGAGCTCCAGGCCAGGTGGGGCTACAGTGATACAGGGAGACCCTGTCTCAAAAACAAACAAACAAAAAAACTCAGAATGGGGAAATGATGGCAATGCCACTGCAAACAGGACCAATCCTGAGTCTCGGGCAGGCGGTCAGCTATTCACGCTTTCAGCTACAGACAACAAAACACACTATGCTCACTGGGCCTAGGGTCAAGCTGGAGGGAGAGTTCCAGGAGGGTTGACAGGAGCAAGAGACAAGGTCAGACTGCTGGAGTTCCCAAAGGCAAGGGCAGGTCGAGGGGACATCACCCTACAAGTGACAGATCTGACACAGAGGGCAAATAAGAAGGTGCACAAAGCCATTAGCTTACAAAAACACAGTCACCACTAAACAGTAAGCTAAAAAAGACATGTGTGGTTTCTGTACTATCCATCACCACTTCATGTGATTCAGTGTGCCGTATAATCAGAGGATGGGGGAAAACCCCTGTAAATCCAAGAATAAAATCAAATACTTTTTTATGTTTCCCTCCCTCTCAGTATGGCCACAGATAAATAGTTTTCATGTTACTGTATGAAATAATTTCCTAACAAAGGACTACATAACAAAAGGACATAAATAGGGCTGGGCAATGTAGCTCACTGCTACCACTTGCCTAGTGTGCACAAGCCTCTGGTTCCATCCTCAACACCACACATACACATACACAAACACACACACAAGTGCACAAAGATACAAGTAATATAACATCAACATAACCACAAAGTGCATCACAGTGAGTTATCTGCAGTGGTTTCAGCCCCATCAACGTAGCCAATGACCAAGCTCCAATCTGGAGCATGTAGTCCTCAGGAACCTCTCTGAAATTAGTATCAATACCCCCACTTTACAGATGAGAAAACTGAGAGTAAAGGTGTGCTGGGCCCAGGGATAGCCCAGTGGTAGCAGAACACATGTTTAGCATGTGCAAGGTCCTGGGTTAAATCCACAGCACACACACACACACACACACACACACACACACACAAAATGAATTAAGGTTAAAAATGATCGACCCATAACCCAACAGGATTCATACCCAGAACACCTACTCTGGTAGTTTATAACAATTCAACTGCTACTATATGGTTTTATGAATGATGAGTTATTCAAGTTCTTAAACACTTATAAAGCCATAGAAAAAAAAGTAAAAGAAAAACAAAACACTTCAAAACAATTGTATAAATAATTAATACTGGACAGAAATATTGAATACAACATCATCTGATGTTCCTATTTCGCAAATGACTGACAGCTCCTAGGTTACAAAGCCATTTTTCATCTTCCCGAATGAAAGGTATCAAATTTACATGGCACCTATAAATATTTTCTTCAATAGACACACCTTATATAAGACATATACAAGGAAACTTTCTGAAAATAATTCTAAATTCCTAGAAAAGAATTCCTTACAAATAACCTTCAGAACACTCCAGGATACATATAGATCATTCATCCCAGGCAAAGTGTGTGCACAATGGGATGGTATCTAAAAGGTACACACACAGACAGATGAGGCATGCAGAAAATTATTCTGAGTATTAGTTTCACTTTCACTGTAGCTTTGGCTAAAAACCTTAGCTATCAATGTCTCTACAATGTGCACTCTGGAATGAAACCATCTCAATTCTAACAGTTTTTAAAACAAATTGCACTATACACATAATCAAAATAAAAGCAGAAATTGGGTTTTGGGGGTCTTTTTTTAGGAGAGAGTGCAAACGCAGCCCCCACTACCACAAATTATGCGGTCGAGTTTCCCCCATTCAGGGAAATCGCGGGGGTCAGTGCATCCCAAGTGCAATGGAAGAACCTGGCCCTGGGAAAACCACCTTCCTGATCATGGTGTCTCCCCTGCCAGGTAAGAACAGAAATTGGGTATTTTATAAACTAAATTTTGAGTCCATTATGAAGTAATTAATGATGTAACAGGCCTTGATATTTCCATTCCTGGGCAAAACACACCTATTTTTCACTAAAGGCTGTAACAAATGAATGCTTGTAATTTCCTTTCCTTTCAGTCTGAGTTGGCATCCAACACTACCCACTTAAGTGTTGGAGGCTTCAGTTGAATCAAAATGCAAAGGCACAAACATACACTGGTACTTCTTAACCTGAGAAATTCTGTTCCCTAGAATAGTTAATGACATTCTTGACTGAAAAAACTGGCGGTTGGAGCCATGTCCTGTTGCTCTGGCTAACTGGGGGCTGAAACAAGAGGATGACTTGAACCCAGGAATCTGAGGCCAGCAAAGGTAACACTGCAGGCCCTAGTTTCAAAAAAATACAGCAAAACACCCAGAAGTAGAGAAGGGGACCAGGACGACATAATGTGACAGTAGAAGTGTCAGCCCTATCCAAGGGGTAGAGACCAGGGATGAAATTCAGCATACTAGAGTGCACAAGGCAGCCCCCAACAACAAAGAATTCTCTGGCTCAAAGGTCACACCTGCCACTGTTAAGCAACTCTGAAATTCACAAGTATGGCTATTTTAAAGAAAACACACCAAGTGCAAAGAGTGGTTCTCTTGGTAAGATTATCAATCATTTCTACTTTGTTCTTTTTCTCTGTTTCCTAAATCGAAGACATCAGATGCATTATTTGGACTCAAGAAAAGAAAATCCATCCAGGGATACAGTTTGAGGAGGAGGAGGACTATTCGCTGGTGGGGCTTCTTCTCAAAGGGCTGGTCTTATGCTGGTCTTCAGGAAAGGACCAGGAAATTTTTACTAAAATCACCTGCCTTGAAACTGTTATTCATTATACCTGGTCAAAATGAATATTCCTAATTTCTCAAAGCCAGCACTGTCAGTGCTTCACACAGGAAGGAGAAAACTTTAATGTAAACCTGGAGACTCTCTAGTGAAGTTATAGCCTGACCTCCTGATTTTAATGCTGTCACCAACATGGAAAGTATAATCACTTCAAAAAAGCTAGTATTCTCCTATCATTCAATACTCCCTCCTCCCTAAAAAAATGATTTGGCAACCATACTGTGATGCTGGTGAAAAACAATCAACAAACTTATATTTAAACGTGTACCTATACAAGTCAATGAAATTTCTTGCATAATTGAAACCTTCAATTTGAAACAAAAGCTTTGCCATACCACATCTGTTGCAGCTGGAAGCCCTCTGTAGTACAGATTCCCAATAAAAAAATGTTAGTAATTATTTTTCCACATGTAATCATTAAATCATGGGGGTGGGGGGTGAAAAACCTGAAATTGAAGTTCTTAAGTGGGTGTATTGTAACAGGACTTAAAGACAGTTGGAGAAAGTCCAAGATTATATTCCCTTTAAAGTCACATCTTCATCCCAAAGCTACTTAAGCTAATGGCAAGTATCACTCACTAACATTTATGAAATCAATATTCCCATTGTGCTCAACTCTCCAGTCACATGCCATCCACCACACCATACCAGCTCACTTAGAGACAGCAGTGCAGACCCAGGGCAAAGTACCCCCGCCCACCCAGGACCACTAGTGGGCCAAGGAACCCGCCCCTGCCCGGAGCACGGCAGTGGCTGACCACAACCCTGATGAGGTGGCCTGGGCACCCACCTTCTGAACTTGGGGCGCGCCTGACTCATACGGAGTCACATGGCACGGGAGCAGGCAGAAGGGCCACCACTGCCAGGTGTTCAGGCTCCGCACAACCGTTTATTTGCCTTGCAAAGTGACCCGAGCCACTGGGGGCCGGCCTGCAGCCTCCGGGCCTCTCCTCCCTCGCACGCCCACAGCCTCCCTGTCACCCGGTCCTCACCTGAGTGGGCAGCAGGAGTTCCCCTTCTTCTGCCTGCCACAGCTCCACCACGTTCTGCAAGGGCTCGATCGCTGCACAGACACCAAAAAAAAAAAAAAACACGCCGCGTTGTAAGGAACGGAAAAGAGACGCTTCCTGTTTCGCCGCCCGGCCCCCTTGCCACCCGCCGGCCCCAAACAAGTCCCCTTCGCTTCTCCGAGCGGAGGCGACCGAGGGGCGAGCCGAGGATGCAGCACAATGCCCCGCCGGCGGGCCCTGCTCGGGCAGCGAAGACGTGCAGGCTGCTGGAGACCAGGGGGCGAGGCCGCCCCACGAGGCACCGCGCGGAGCGACCCAGCGTCTGCACCGCGGCCCCGGGGCCACCGGGCTGGGGAACAAAGCTGCAGGAAGCCGGGCGCGGCGAGGCACCCGCGCGCCACACAAAGCGGGGGGATGCGCCCAGGGCGCAGGGGCCCGCGCACAAAGGCTCCGGGGCGCGCGCGGCTAGCGGTCCCCCAGCCCGAGGCTCCCGCTCCGGGGCCGGCCGGGGACGCTGCGCTCGCGGGGCTGCAACAGCCGGCCTGCCTCCAGCTGCCCCTTTCCCCTTCCTTCGCGAGCCCCCAGATTTCAACAGTTCCCTGAAAGAAAGGGGGGCGGGGGGGCGGGGACGGCCAGCCCCGGCGTCAGGCTGACCTTGTCCCTGAGTCCCTCCCGGGCGGCAGCAAGACAGCAGGACCTGGAAGACGCCCAGCAGGAGG